ATATATATATATATATATATATATATATATATATATATATATATATATATATATATATGCATGCATGCATATATACATACATACAAGCATCCAACAGCACGCATGCATGCACGCATGCATGCAGGCACGCATGCATGCATGGATGCATGCAGGCATGCATGCATGCATGCATGCATGCATGCGTGGTATCTGACCTGAATGGGCGTTGGTTTTTGAAAGCCAGCAGCAGAAATAGCATCGAGGAGATAAGAAGGAAAAGATGTGTGCTCAAATGTAGGGCAGGGCTTGGGGACGTTTACACCTATAAAATAAATAAATAAATTAAATAAATAAATATATTTATTTTATTTTATTTTATTTATTTTATTTATTTAGTTGTTTATAGATGCATATATAATAAGAAGGAAAAGATGTGTGCTCAAATGTAGGGCAGGGCTTGGGGACGTTTACACCTATAAAATAAATAAATAAATAAATAAATAAATATATTTATTTTATTTTGTTTGTTTATTTTATTTGTTTATTTATTTATTTATTTAGTTGTTTATAGATGCATATATAATAAGAAGGAAAAGATGTGTGCTCAAATGTAGGGCANGGAAAAGATGTGTGCTCAAATGTAGGGCACGGCTTGGGGACGTTTACACCTATAAAATAAATAAATAAATAAATAAATTAAATAAATAAATATATTTGTTTATTTTATTTATTTATTTATGTATTTTATTTTATTTATTTAGTTGTTTATAGATGCATATATAATGAGAAGGAAAAGATGTGTGCTCAAACGTGGGGCAGGGCTTCGGTACATTTACACTTATAAATAAATAAATAAATATATAAACAAATATAATATATATACATATATATAAATATATAAAAAATATATATAAATATATAAATAATATATATAAATATATACATAAACAACACCCGCAATGACGGTGATTTCGTGTTCAGAGCGTATTAAAAATAAACAAAATAAACAAACAACCAAACAAACAAACAAACAAACAAACAAACAAACAACAAAACAAACAAACAAACAAAATAAACAAACAAACAAACAAACAAACAAACAAACAAACAAAATAAAAAAGAAGAGAAAAAACCTACCGGCAATGATGGTGATTTCATGTTCTGATCGTATTATACACAAATAAATAAACAAACAACAAAATAAACAAAAAAACAAACAACCAAACAAACAAAACAAACAAACAAACAAACAAACAAAACAAATAAATAAAATAAAAAACAAAAAACCTACCGGCAATGATGGTGATTTCATGTTCTGATCGTATTATACACAAATAAATAAACAAACAACAAAATAAACAAAAAAACAAACAAACAAAACAAACAAAACAAACAAACAAACAAACAAACAAACAAACAAAACAAACAAAATAAAAAACAAAAAACCTACCGGCAATGATGGTGATTTCATGTTCTGATCTTATTCTATCTGCTTCTTCTGGTGGCATCTGCGCTATCTCTGGGTGTTCAACATAAAAATTTTTTTCAAAGGGAACGAGCTCAACGCGCTGCCAGTCTACACGGGTGAGCTTGGCCCCCAGTTCATCTCTTCTTTCTCCATATAAACCCCCACCACCACCACCACCACCATAACCACCATAACCACCACCACCACCACCATAACCACCACCATAACCACCACCACCATAACCACCACCACCACCATAACCACCACCATAACCACCACCATAACCACCACCACCATAACCACCTACACCACCATAACCATTCGCACCACCATAACCACTCGATCCACCCGAATACATCTTCGATACAATTGAATTTTTATACTGGGAATAAATACTCCTTTTTTATATAATAAAAAGATATTTCCTGAGAAAAACAAAAAAAAAAAAAAAAAAAAAAAAAAAAAAAANAAAAAAAAAAAAAAAAAAAAAAAAAAAAGAGAAAAACACAAAGACATGCAGATATTCATCAATAAAGAAACTAAATTGTAATATAACAATATATATTATATTTGTAATATATAATGTTCACAGAGAATATACAAAAACACAACAGAAACACAAATAAAAAACAAAATAAAACAAACACGCACTCCTTTGCTGCCCCGTGGTTACATCAGTAGAAAGAAGAACAAAAGGGAGAAATGAATACAGACAAAAGAGAGAACAGAGAGAAAAGCAAGAGCCCCCAGGTGCTTCAGACACCCCAGACGCATGCATAAACACCCCCCATACACCCCAACACGAAAGAAACCAAACGAGAACAAAGAGGAACAGATGCATGCAGATGCCCACAGACGGCCGGGGGCACCGGGCGGCTGTGGGGCCCCAAATTAGAGAGAAAGCGTCTCAGTCTGCTGCATTAGAGCAAAGGAAAAAAGAAGAAAGATCCACGAACAAAAACTCAACAAAAAAGCAAAAGGTTATGGCGGCAGCAACCAGGCGCCGCCCCGGCAGCCCCCAAACCAAGGAGCCGACACAGAGAGAGGAGAAGAGTATTTAAGAATCTGAGCAAAATATATATATAAGCGTACCTCTGAATTCGTGAAAAAGAGAATTTAAATCGTGCAAAAGAGAAAAAAAAGGGCGGCAAGCAGCGAGAAGTGAAGGCTGCAGCTGCAGCAGAAACAACAGAGAAAAAAGAAAGCAACAGAACGGGGGGGACCTGCGCCAGGGGAGAGAAAAGGAAAGCAGCCGCTTACTGCCTCTATTCGGCAGCAAAGCAGAAATAAAGTGGAAACAAAAAAGAAATTCAGGTTTTCTCACAAAAGATGCACGCAAACACGCAGCAGCTGCAGCTCCATACAACAGCAGCAATGTTGCATGGCTGCAACGACGTGTTGTTTCTGAGCTGTACGTACAGCTGAGCGGGGTGGTGTTGTGACCGGTGCCGGCCGATTCAGGTTTTTTAGTTCATGAATAAAAATTCATCTTTTTCGTTGCTTTCTTGAACAGAAAGCTTTCTTTTATTAATTTATATCTACTCCCCTTTTTTCGCTTCTCTAAGCTCACTCATGTGGGGCGTTTTCCAGCCCCAAGCCACCCGAAGAGCTGAAACACGCAAAACATGAATACAGCTGATCTGCAGTAATCTCGCGAGATTCTTCATCGTTCAAAGCATTTCAGGGTATTCGATTGCCGCAGATTCACTAATTCTCTGTATTCTTCTGCCTATGCAGCCCCCATCCGTCGGTTCAGCCCCTAGCACACCAGGGGGCCCTCCCTTTCCTTGTGGTGGGCCCTCCCAGTGTCTATGTGCACGTCTCGAGCCGGAGAATATCTAATCGTTGGGGGCGCGCTCCGGCCGCTCAGCTCGGTGTAGAGGGGCCCCGGCCTACTGCTTTCAAGCCAGCGTGCAGCTGTGACTGCTGCGGCTGCTGCTGTTGCTGCTGCTGTTGCTGCTGCTTCTACTGATCGCCTCACCATGGGCGCCAACCGCACCCCTGCAAAGCCCCAGAGGCATAGAGACGCCGACGGGCTCTACCGCTGCTATCGATGCCCCCAGGAGCCGGCCGTGGCCAGCGTGCGTGAGAAGTGCTGCAGAAGCTGTTTGCTGCTGCTCGTTCGCAAGGCATTTGCAACAGAGCTCGCGGGTATTCGCCAGCGCCTCGCCGAGCAGCAGCAGCAGCAGCAGCAGCAGCAGCAGCAGAAAGAGGGTGCATGCGTTTCTACTGGTGTTAGGAATGAGGATGATTGCCCCCTGTATATAGCCGTGTCTGGTGGGGATGCGAGTCTTTCTCTGTTGCACTTAGCAGCAGAAGCTGTTCAGAAACGTCTGTTGAGGCGGCAGCAGCAGCAGAAGCGACAGCAGCAGCAGCAGCCATCGGCCCGCACGTGCAGTCCGTGTTGCTGCACCCGTTGGGTTTTGAGTTTTCTTAC